AAAGTAAAATGAAAATTCAAAGTGAAAAGCAAGAGATAAATAAAATCCTATTTAAAACAATTAATAATAATAAATCGTTTCGCGTTCCATAGAGAAACGAGTTGAACTATTCCGCATTTCGGTAGTTTATAGAAGAAAACTGACAAGAAACGGAGAAAAAAAACTCATTCTGGCGAGTTAGGATTCTGAGGATCACCCTTTTGGTCGAAGGGTTATCCTTTGGGTCAAAGGGTTATCCCTTGTGTCAGAGGACAGAGGATGGGAGAAGACCTCCCGACGATTTTATCACCGATTTTTTAGCACCGATTTAACAATTTTATCATTTTCGGCCTCTTCCGTCTCGAATTCCCACGGGAGCACTCGAAATTGCCACCGTATCCCGTAACGGGCAACTGTTGCCAGTAACGGCATTGCAACTGGCGACCCTTCGGCCTTCGCCTTTCGTGGATTTAACCTAATTTAGACAAAAATGATTTATTTATTGCTATTTATTTATTTGGTTGGAGTATTTATTTCTGGATTTAAGATTGATAACAGGGTCGCTCAAAACAAAGTCCAGCCGTTAGCTCCATTTTATTCTCATGCATTCCTTTTTCACGGAATTTCTTCGCATTACATATCAGGATGAAACTTGGTAATAAACTTGGTAATAAATAAACAAAAGCGCAAAGAAATCCGTTCATCGATGGTGAAATGCTGCATGTTTTTACGTGCCTTTTAAACAACATTTTATTTTAAATGTCAACATTTTCATACTTTCATGCGCACAAACGAGGAGGAAAATAATGAAGTTCATGCCTTGATTATTTTGAGGCAACTTACAGCAATTACCATCAGCAATTTCCGTCAGCAATTACTATCAGGAATTACCATCAGCAATTACCGGCAGCAATTACAATAAACTTTCTTTAACTTTCGACCCGTTTCTATTTTTTTCCCTTTCATCTTAAAAGCAAAATTGGTGTCGCGCGTTCCGGAATCCAGTTCGTGAATTGAATGTTTCCAAGGTCAAAAGGTTCGTTTGACTCGCGAAGTCCTTGGTAGACCTTGGTCTTCGTGACGCCCGGCAACGCGGATTCGCCGTCGCAGTCGCCATGTGCCATGTGCCATGTTGCGGCGAGCCGATAAATCCCTTTTCATGTAAATCTCAGTAGGGAGACACGTGTGCAGAGGAAGAAGATCCATATTGGCAACAAACGGCAACTATGGCATCAAAAGGCAACTGTGGCAACTAATACGGTTGCTAAATACAGTGCCTGCATTTAGCAAAAGACACCATGTAGCAAATTCGCGACTAAAGGGCTTAACATTACGCAATAACGCCGGAAATGAGAAAAGCTCACATGTCGGCAGGCGGTCGCATGGGAGAAGGCGGAGTGTGCCTGGGCGAAGGCGGCACGTGCCCGGTAGAAGGCAGCCGGCTCGTCTCCCTATCCTCGCCCCAATCTTCGTTCTCGTCCTAGAAACGAAAGGAGTCGGGTTTCACTTCCGTTTCCTCCGATCTCGGGGCGATCTCGAGCCGTCATGGCGAGCCGAAGAGGGCCGTCATGCCGAGATGGAGAGGGCCTTGAAAAGACCAAGGTCGGGCTGAACGTCCTCGCGAGCCCAACAATGACAATATTGTTCCCGTCTTATCTCTTTTGCACAATTGAACTCGGTGGAAACGGTTACAGCGACGTCGGCTTTTGTCCGCCAACGAAATTGGCTACCTTCTTAAATTAGCAATTAGCAGAACGGGCCAAACAAAGACCCGACTCCGACTGCATTCCATTCCCACGTGCCCTCTTACATGCCCTTTTACGTGCCCTCACGTGCCCTCTTATGTGCCCTTACCAAGTGATCCCTTGGAAAAGGCGTTCGACTCCTCTCGGCCGAAGAGACCCCGCTGTCCGCCTTCGGCGAAGGCGGGGACCCCAGTTTCCTCTGGAGCGAAGGCGAGTAGAAAATCCCGTCGGACAAAAGGGTGACCTGGGAAGGCAGGGGTGACCTGGGAAGCGGCGGCAGTCGCTTCTCGACTCCGCTTCCCTCTCGGCTCGGGGGCGCATCTGCGGGCACCAAATAAAATACAGTATTTTAAATAATAAATTATTTGTCACAAAAATTACATCAATGACATAAATAAATAATGTAAATTATATATATATAATTAAAATCCGTCGCAAACCTGGTAGAGGCTCGAGGAAGCGTTTCCCTTTTCCCGATCTGGGCGGTAGGGTCTTCGTGGGCGAGGGCCAGGACTTGGACAAGGTGAGGACCTCGAAGGCCTCCTCGGATCCCTTTGCCCCGATCGAGAATTTGTTCGGCAGGATCTGGAAACCTGCAGGCGGAAAGTTTTCACGTCGCATCCGCAAAAAAAAATGGCGGAAACGGGTGCACGGCGGTGTCGTAAATCCAAAATCGGCAGGAAATCGGTGAGGAAGTACAACCTCACTCGCAAGCAGGCAAGCAAAACACGTGGAAAAAAAAGTTTTTGCAGCCAGCAAACTCGGGAAAAACTTTTTGCATGACTTTTTTTTGCAAAAAAAAAAACCTTTTGGCAGAACTTTACCTTTGTCGAAATGCGGCAACTTAACGCTCGTTATTTCCTCCAGTATCACTTTCCTACGCGGTCCTAAAAAAAAAAAACCCTCACGATTATTTATCTCTTTCATTATTTATTATGATTTATCCACGTTCATTATTTATTTTATATTTTATCATTTATTTTTATTTCGATGATTTCCCGCGGGGGAAAAAAAAAAAAACCGACGAAAAAAAAGGGGAAGCCCGTTCCGTGATGATAGGGATTACATTTATTGCAACACATTGTCTGTGCATTTTTCTCCCTCGGCGACGCGATGCCTCGCAACATGATGCCGTTGCTGGTTCAATATCCCCGGCATTAACCCAGTTCTCGGGGAACCGTCGATTCC